CGATCCATTTATATTATTGTTACGGCGTGCAACCCGATCAATTTATATCACTGTTGCGACGTGCAACCCGATCTATTTATATTATTGTTGCAGCGTGCAACCCGATCCATTTATATCACTGTTGCGGCGTGCAACCCGAACCATTTATATTATTGATGCGGCGTGCAACCCGATCCATTTATATCACTGTTGCGGCCTGCAACCCGATCCATTTATATCACTGTTGCGGCGTGCAACCCGATCCATTTATATTATTGTTGCGACGTGCAACCCGATCCATTTATGTCACTGTTGCGGCGCGCAACCCGATCCAATTATACAATCAACAACCATCATAACAAGAGTCCCGGCAAGGGATCAATTAAGAACTACACTATCCCGGCAAAAGAATCGACGGTATAAGTAAATACGTCCCGGCAAGGGAGAAACAGCTATAATCAATCTTGCTCCAACATCTAAATACCTCAGCTAATACCAATACTCAATCATAAGTAATTTCCACCAAAACAATATAAATCCTTTCTTAATACCGAGAATCATCAATTTAAGCATCCGTAGTATTACTTAAGAACACAATAATTCACAAATTAAGACTCGCGGTCATGCTTGACACCAACGTATAGATACTCGTCATCATGCTTATACGTCGTACTCAACAAGAAGCAAATAGCAAATAGGACACAACTCCTAATCCCTCAAGCTAAGGTTAGACCAAACACTTACCTCGAACTTCCACGGCCAACTCAAGCCTCAAACACTGCTTTTCCTTTTGAATTTGGCTCCAAATCAATCGTATCTAGACATAATCGACTTAATAACATCAATAAACGCTAAACAATCCAATTCCAATGCTTAATTATAGCTTTCCAATCATTCTTTCCAAAAAGTCAAAAATTGACCCCGGGCCCGCTTGGTCAAAACACGAGGTTCGAACCAAAACCCGATCACCCATTCACCCACGAGCCCGAATATATAATTAGTTCCAAAATTCAACCCCAAAACGAGGTCTAAATCCCAAATATACAAAAAGCCCTAACTCTACCCAAATCCCTAATTTTCTACCCTTAAGAACATGATTTAAGCCTAGAAATCTAATGGGTGTTAATGGAAATTGAAGAAAATGAGTCTAAGATTACATACCTATGAATTGGTAGTGAAATCCCCTTTCAAAAATCGCCCAATTTGGAGTTTGGAAGAAGAAGTTATGAAATTTTTGGTTAAGTCCCGTTTTGCTTCTGTTTTAAAATCACTGGACAGGCCTTCATCGCGTTCGCGATAGGCCTATCGCGTTCGCGATAGGCCTGTCGCGTTCGCGATGAGTCCAGCTTTGGTGACCTTCGCGTTCGCAACATTAGGCTCACGTTCGCGATACACAAACTTCCCTTTCCCCCTGCCCAGGCCCAAAGCCTTCGCGTTCGCGATAGCAGGACCGCGTTCGCGAAGGGAAACACCCCCAAAGCTTCGCGTCCTGTGTCTCGCGTTCGCGTAGAAGGAGATTTCCTTCAGCTTGACCAAACCCTTCGCGTTCGCGAGAGTCCTTCCGCGAATGCGAAGAAGAAAATATCAGAACACCAGAAACTGAAAAACCTGCAACTTTTATGAGTTCAAAAACCTTCCGAAACACATCCGAAACTCACCCGAGCCCTCGGGGCTCTACGTACTAACTCAAAAACATCATATGAACTTATCCGTGCTATCAAATCGCCAAAATAACCTCTTAAACATCAAATTAAACCTCAAAATCAATGAAATTTCTCAAAACTTCTTTAAACATCAAATTTTTGCATTTAAGGTCCGAATCACGTCCAATGGATTCCGTTTCTTACCAAACTTTACCGACAACACATATAAATAATATTGAACATGTACTGGGCTCCGGAACCATAATACGGACCCGATACCACAGATTTCACATAGCATTTCACTTTCAAAAACCTTTATATTTTTTAGAAAACAATTTCTTTTAAAATTCATTTCTCGGACTTGGGACCTCGGAATTCGATTTCGGGCATACGCCCAAGTCCCATATTTTTCCACGGACCCTCCGGGACCATCAAATTACGGGTCCGGGTCCGTTTACCCAAAATATTGACCGAAGTCAACTTAAATGCATTTTAAGTTAAAATTTCATTCACAGATTTTCACATAATAGCTTTCCGGCTACGCGCCCGGACTGCGCACGTAAATCGAGATAAAGCTAAAAGGGGTTTTTAAGGCCTCGTAATACGTAATTTATTATAAAAATAAGTGATGACCTTTTGGGTCATCACAGACCTATAGCCGGATTTCCAACTACACTCTCTACCTTTGCGGGGTTTTTATTATCCCCTGAACTATTTTAAAGTCAAATAAATTGACCCTTAAAGTACCACAATCAAATTTCTGTTGGGCAGTGAACCACACTCGCTTGACACATCAGGCTTTGTTAAAAGAGAAACCTTTTTTTCTTTTCCTCCAACAGTTACCTTCTTCCCCCAAAATCACCCCTAAAACTCCATTGAAACCAGCCAAATTAAGCTGTAAAACCCAAGAAAAACAGCTCTATTTTCCAGCAGAAAACTCAGCAAAATCAGCCATGAAATCCAGCTGAAAATCAGTCCAAACAGCCACTAAAAGCTCCCATTAACACCACCTGAAAACCTTCGAAACCATCCACAAACCTCCATCAAAACGACCCCTTTTACACCCGAAATTGTTGTCCAAATATGGTCTAGTCGGTATAATTTTCGTCTAGCTCTTGGTTCAAGATCGTCGTCGAGGTTATGTTTGATTGGTTCTATTCCGTTTGAAGCTCCGTTTTACACACAAAAAATAATTTGTGTGTGAAAAGGATAGAAAGAGGAAGAAGAAAAACAGATTAAATGGAAAATTAGATAAAGTCGCTGGCGATTGAATATCCGCTCGATAAAAAAAGAAGTAAAAGAAAAAGGAAAAAAAAAAGTAAGAAATTCTATAAATCACTAAAATTGGTAAAAAAGCAAAAAGAAAAGTTTGAATAGTTTAGGGGGGGGGGGGGTAGGGGGTAGGGGAGAGGGTAATAAAAACCCCGCAAAGGTAGGTCAAAGGAGTACTTATGCATTTTCCCTAAAAAGATCGACCAATTTTGCGTTGTAGTTTCGTACTTTTATAATAGTCTAGATTGATTGAAGAAACAAAATTAAGTGAAACATTATTTTCCTATATATTTAGTAGTTTTTAAATTTAGTTTCACATTACTTATCACGTAATTACGATAAATTAATATACTTTTTTGCAAATACTAAGTGAACTAAAAAAGTTCTTCTAAAAAATTACTCATTGATGCTAAAAAACTATTTTCTTCATCATCATAAAGTACCATTAGCTAGGATTTCATTTTCCAATTGCCATATAGAAATTACTTCAAAAGAACGGCTACAATTGTAATAACGATCCAAATAATTGACTTCTTAATTATTTATTTAAGGTAAAATAAATGGATTTTGAAGTCCTACATTTTAGGTACCTAGCTAGTTTAAATAACTAAAGATTTAATAACTAAATTTCAAAGAATTTTAGGTCCTAAATATTAGTATAATCAAATGACAATTTTGTCCAATGTGATATTTTGAAGGGGTAGAAAAGGCGAACGATATTTCGCTAAGAACCTTCGTGTGCTTGTATAGACACTAGTTTTAATGTACGTGTATTGCACGTGTTTATTACGTTAATAAAAGAATTCTTAATAAATTATATTCTTCTTAATAATCCTTAGGGTAGAACTTGAGCAAAAAAAAATAGATCGAGTAAAAATTATGAATCAAATATTAAATATTATGCAGCATACATAGCTCCTTGTTTAAAATAATACTCTAATTTAAAAAAAATAGTTGGAGCTTATAATATTTTGACAACGTTAATTATCCGGTTCTTTTCAATTTGATTTTATATAAGTTATTGGGCCTTTATTGTCACTTTAATTTTTTTTTAATCTTCTTAGGTATGTTTGTTCCTTCTATCTCTTCATCTTAAATATTCACTGCACCAGCTTTTTTAACTTCGTCTGACTTCTTTACAATTAAATATCTTCCAACCTGATAACCTCTGTTTATTGTATAAAATTAAAAAAGACGTAAATTCTTTACTTACACTCAGTAGCAATATATGGTAAAATGTGAATTAATTCTTCTTTTTTACTAACAAAATAGTAGGTTAGTTAAAAACGCGAACTATATATTTACTGTGTTGTAAAAATTGAAATAAAATAATGATATAAATTTTGAAAGATTAATTCTATGCACGTGGTATTGTCGCAACTAACAAGTATCGTATAGCTTCAATGAGTATAACATTACTATGTTCTTTATCTTTTTCATCAAACATCTTAATTACCGGGATATCTCTTGTCATTCTACTTGGCATAAGAGTTACAACTTTATTTCGTACCTTTATACTATCATATTTGTAGTTTAATTAGTTATGAAATATTAATAACTAAATTTAATAATACTTTCTTCATCGTCGATGTCCTTCTTACTGAAATAAAATTTTGTATCCTAAAGTAGCAATATAGCATTGCCAAAGCAATCTAATTTATTAATGTTATTGTTAGCGTTATCTTTTAGTCAATTAGTTGTATTAGGACTTTATTTGAATTATTCTTGTAATTATCCTTTTCATATATTATTGTAACTTTATCTTATAAATATAAGTCTGGAAAGGTGAGCAAGACTCACACTTTGACGCTTCTCAGTTTATCAATCTCATCTTGGTATCAAGAGCCCTAAACGATCCCCTTCAATGGCTCCAGAAAATTCTTCTTCCTCTTCTGCTCAAACCGCCATGAATCAATCTTCTCTTGGCCTCCCCATCCCCCCTCCAACAGTTTCCAATATCAAAGGTTTTGTTCCTATCGAATTGACATGCGTCAATTACCTCACCTGGAATAGAGTTTTTCTTACGGTCCTTAAAAGTCCCAACCTTCTTTCCTTAGTAGATGGAACCATACCATGTCCATCACCAGACCACGCTGATTACAAGCTATGGATTCATGCGATACTATTGCATTAAGTTGGATTAATGCAACACTTTCTTCTGTTGTTCTTGACACACTTTTGAACTATGCTTGTGAGACATCTAAACAGGCTTGGGAAACCCTCGCATCACTATATTTGGATCAAGTCTCTTCCTACGCCATTCACCTTAAGTCGAAATTCCAAAATTTCAAGAAAGGTCCCCTTTCTATGGAAGATTATCTTCAGCAACTTCACTCTATTGCCTGCTCTCTCAGGGCAATTGGTAAACCTCTGACTGGTGATGATTTAGTCACTCAAGCTTTGCAAGGATTGCCTTCATCTTATCGTACCTTTGTGTCTGGATTAAATGCTACTGGCTCACTTCCTTCTTTCATTGCATTACGACCACTGCTTCTCACTGAAGAAGCTCATATTAATGCAAATGCTACTGAAGAGTCAAATGCTCAAACTGCGTTGCTTGCGTCAACTCAAGCAAAGACCACTTCTAATTCATCATCTTCCTTCAATGGAAATCAGCCTACAAAAGGATACTTCCATGGACGAGGTCGTGGCAAAAATAACAAGGGACAATATGGTAGGGGTCGAGGATACCACAATTCTTCTTGGTCTGGTTTCCAACATCAATCTCGGCCTCCTTCCCCTACTACTAGTATTTTGGGTAGACCACCTTTCGTTCCTACTAAACAATGTCAAATTTGTTTTCACTATAATCACACTGCGTTGGAGTGCAGAAACAGGTTCAATCATTCCTTTGTGGCTAACAATATTCCTAAACCATTTGCTGCAATGAATTTGGAGGAGGTTCAACCAACAGTTTGGTATCCAGACTCGGGGGCATCTGCGCACATGACAAATAATCCTTCTACTCTTACTTCTCACACTCCTTATTCTGGTCCTTCTCAAGTCATGGTTGGAGATGATACTCTTCTCTCAATTAAATCTACTGGTTCATCTATCCTTCCAACAACTTCTATGCCTCTTCTCTTAAAGAAAGTTTTATATGTCTTTGCATTGTTCATTGAACATGATATGAAATCTTGGAAATTCAATCATCTTCAACTTAATTATTTTCGCCTTTATGCACAGTCATTGCAACTGTTTTCGCCTCTCTATTGCTGCATGAACAATTGTACAGTGGAAGGTATATATATAATCCCATTGAATTTCTATGTTCTTGCATCTTTCACTGTTAAAATCAAATGTGAGAAAACTGAAATCTCTTAGAACTTAATTAAACTGATATATACAACTTGTATGTACTATAATATATTAGAACCGGAAAAAGTGTTAAAGCACTGCCTCTTGATTTATGTTAATTGCTGTATTTTTGCTATAGTAACTAATAGTTTGGCTTGAATTCTTTACGAAGCAGATAGATTAGAACAAGCAAAAATGCTCTCCACCCTAACTACTCCTACATCCCAAATCTTTGCTTTTCCGATCTCTTTCTTCCCCCATACTGTTTAATTAACTACCAACAACCATGGACCCACCAAATTACCACAATATGCAAATTGACAGACCATAAATCCAATCACAAACCAAATCCTTTCTTCAGACACTAACCTCAATTTCAAATCTACCAACTTACATTTCTAACACCCAATCCATCAACGCCAGAGTGAACTTAACAGATGAAACATTAAATGAGGATGATTTAGACAATTTTATTCCATTAACAACTGAAGATAAATCTCGATTATACACTCCTTGGAAAAATTCTATCATAGTAAAGGTTTTTGGCAAAATGGTTGGACACCAACTGCTAAAAATTAAACTAACAAATCTATGGAAGCCAACTGAAGAAATTCATCTTATAGACTTGGGATGCAATTTTTTCCTTATCAAATTTCATTATGAGGAAAATATGTGTAAGGCTTTACATGAAGGGCCGTGGTTCACACTAAACCATCTCTCTGTTCGTCGCTGGGAGCCTAAGTTTATTGCTTCAGCAGCCCAACTAACGTATGCTGCTCTATAGGTACGCCTACCAGAACTTCCAACGGAGTTTTATGATTTTCAAATACTGCAAAAGGTAGGAAACAAGATAGGGCAACTTCTAAAGGTTGATACAGGTCGATTCGTGGTTTTAGCATGGTTTGATATGATTTGAGGCCTCGAGCAAGTCCGTATTGTGTTTTGGGACTGGTTAGTATGATTGGTTGGGGTCCCGGGGGCCTCCGGAGGATTCCGGGTGGTTAACAGATCAAAAATGAAATTTTGGAGGAGCTGAAGCTGCTGGTGTAACCGCACCTGCGAAAATAGGGCCGCAGGTGCGGAGCCGCAGAAGCGGCCTTCTTGCCGCAGAAGCGGAAATAGGCGGCTAGGCATGGTACCGCAGATGCGGTCATTTTGCCGCAGATGCGGGACCGCAGCTGCGGAAGGAAAAGCGCAGAAGTGGGCTGGGGCAACTGGAGGAAGATCGCAGAAGCGGTATTGGACCGCACCTGCGGAACCGCAAAAGCGGTCAAGTGACCGCAGGTGCGGGAAGTGCTGGAGGCAGTGGGTGTTTTAAAAATCGGGATTTGGCCATTTTCTCTCATTTTTCTCTTGGTTTGGGGAGATTTTGGAGAGCTTCAAGTGGGGTTTTTCACCATCAACGACAAGGTAAGCTAATCCCACCTATCTTGAGTTAAATATATCGATTATGTATGGATTTTAGCATGTATATTGGTAGAATTTTGGGGGTTTGAGGAAAACCTAGAAAAATAGATATTCTTGGAATTTGACCACGATTTTGGTATGAAATGGAGAATAAATTATATATTTGAGTTCGTGGGGATATGGGTAAGCTTAATCTTCGAAAATTTTCGAAATCCGGGCACGTGGGCCCGGGGGCATTTTTGTCAACTTTTCGATCGGGGTTAGGAATTGTTATGAATTGGATTGTAATGAGTAATTGAGCATATATTAATAGATTTGCATAATTATTGGCTAGTTTTGGAGTGTTGTGCATCAATTTGAGTCTTCGGAAGGGCGTGGAATGCCGGTTATGGGTCTTCAGAGCGAGGTGAGTCTCCTTTCTAACCTTGTAAGAGGGAATTGTCCCCATAGGTGAAATAATTGGTTATGTGCTCCTATTTGTGGGGGCTACGTACGCACGAGGTGACGAGAGTCAGTGCGTAGCTACTAATATGTGTAAGTCCGGGTAGTCTAGGACCCAAAAGCATGCTATACTTGGAATAATTGTGATCTTATTGACAGTTGAATTTGTTAAATCCTATCGAATTGGTAAATGAATTTCTAAGAGGATTAAACTTCATTTTCTTAAATCATTAAAAGAGAATTGGCTTTTATTTAGATAAATGTTCCCCGATAAATTCTCAATCTGCTGTTTGAGCATGTATTTCTATGTGTACTTGCGTCGCATGTATGGTACGTGAGCAGGGTGATTGTTTATTTAAATTTGACCGCGTCGCATGTATGATTCGCGAGCGTGGTAATAGATGCATCTATGGTTCGTGCCGCTCGACCCTCGGCAGTGCACATTTTACATTTATGTTGGATCGGGCCGTATGACCTCGGCATGAGTTGCACATGTTTGAATTGCTTGTCTTGAGATTTATTGATATTGCCATCTGCTCTCCCCGACTTGAGATAATTGTTAATTAATGGACTATGAATCCGGAGACTTTTAATAAAAAGAAACTTTTACCTGTTTAGTAATTCATTTGAATCTACTGCTGTCCTTAATAAATCCATGAGTCATCGCTTTAGTAATATTATTATTTGACCATTATTAAGTGTCGAAGTTGCCATCTCGTCTCTACTTCTTCGAGATTAGGCAGGATACTTACTGAGTACACGTTGTTTTCATACTCATGCTACACTTGCTGTGGATTTTGTTGCACAGGTACAAGTATTTCTATTGGCCCATTGGGTGTAGCAGCACAGGTGACCCAAAGACTAGGTGAGTTGTATTTCCTCGAGGCGACTCGCAGCTAGTATAGTCTCTCTCAGAATTGTATTTACTTTTTGTCCATTTGTGTTCCGGACAGCTGTTGTACTTTATTCAAATTCTTAGAAAATGCTCATGTACTTGTGACACCGGGTTCTGGGATATTTATGAAGTATTTTGTATTAATTTCTTATCATTTAATTTGCATTGAAGCGATTATTTTTTTATTGTAAATTCGGAGGAAAATCATAGATTTTAAGAGTATTAAAACGAGAAGTTAATTAAGTAATTTGGTTGGCTTGCCTAACGGTGGTGTCCGGCGCCATCACGACCCTTAGTGGATTTTGGGTCGTGAAAACATGGTATCAGAGCACTAGGTTCCTAGGGTCTCACGAGTCATGAGCAAGTCTAGTAGAGTCTCGCGGATCGGTACGGATACGTCTGTACTTATCCTCGGGAGGCTGCAGGACTGCTAGGAGTACTTCCCTTCTTGATTCCTCATCGTGCGATTTGATCCATGGAGGCTTATGCCTTTAATTCCTTCCTATTCAATCTTATGCGACGCGAACCGCTTGTTATAAATCGAGAATTGAAGAATTGTTATGGTACTACCGATGCAGTGCGGGGTGTTTCTCCCTGCATAGTTGTCTAAGCTATTATCGTTGCCTTGTGGAAGGGTATTCTGTCGTTTCAGCTCAGTAGCGGTACTTCTGAGAGCTCTGAGGCTAGGCACAAGATGCCACGATGCTATAAACGATTGTTCCGCAGTATTTATATGATGGTAGGACGTTTGCCTACGTGTCGGGCCAGTGAATGACTTGAAGGGAGGTTACTCAGTGCATAATCTAGAGATTCAGTATTTTATCCCCGGCGAGGGAAAGGCAATCGGACTAAGAATGGTCAGATGTGGACTGGTGGAGTAATGAGACTTGGTATTTGCGAGCGTGGTGGAGTTTTCGTCTATGATGAGGTGTCGTTGTCCTAATTGAACATACTAAGTTCGCTGGTGTTATGATCTCCTACAATTCGCCTTTGAGGCAAGATATCGTGAAATAGTATTGGAGATGCGGCTGTCAGATATCGCAGGGTGCAGTGGTTTAGGATTGAATCAGTATTTCTGATGTTGACGGTTCGAGAAAGATGACCTTCGGAAAGGTTTAAGGTTAGCAGAAATTGTGGGATTCAAGTGCCACGAAGATAGATTCTAATTAAGGCAACAACTGAGCAGCAAAGGATAAGGAAGGACATGTGGGGAGTGTCAGGCGGTGGTTAAAATTTCTAGAAGGCCAGGTTTAAGAAGCAAAGGTCGAGTAGTCGACTAAAGGGGTGAGTTTCGCCAAAGTGGGAGAGTTTGGAGTGATTTGGGAAATTTTAGTGATTGGTGATTTGGGCCTACGGATTACTTTAAAGTATGGGCTATTATGCGGAAGGAGATTTGATAACAGAAAGAAGCTGCTTGACATGAAGGAGGATACAACCTAACTTTGAGTTGAAGGGATGTTGCCACGCAACTAATTGATGTCCACGAAGGGTGAATCGACTTGTATAGCTAGAGAGTGAGCTTGGACTCAGGAGGGGCCATTAATGTCATGGTGATTGAACCCCGTGTAGCAGTGTTGGAAGACGTCGGCACGTAGATTCCATAGGCGGGATATCTCTAGTGAGCAGGACGGCGGTCGCATGGTTGGCGAAGCTTCTGCAAAGGGTTCTATTGGCTATACAGCAAAGAGATCGGTCGTGTGAACGTGGTTGATGATTCAGAGTATAACAAGAGGGTTTTACAGAAAGATTCCGAGAATTTTGGCGGTTGATTGTGCAAGGTTATGTCAACAAGA